CCCGCGTCGCTACTGGACTGTATGCGAGGTAACATGCGCGATGTGAGCTGCATTCCGTTCGTGCTACGGTCGCGGCGGGCCTCGCTGGACAGCGTGCGCCTTGCACCATACATTGCGCTCGCCATCGAGTTCCTTTGCTCGCCAGCCGCGCGCCCGCGCTACGGAAATGGCCTCATGAAAGACCTGGTGTTCTTGGCGCTGCTGACAGCGGGGACGCCCGCCTTTGCGACCGTCGACGCCAAAGTTCGAATGTGCTACCGAGACGACGTCTCGTTCCAGACGTTTTGTGCCATGCTCGTCGAAGAAACGACAAGCACTATGGAAGTTCTCGTTTTGGAAGAGTACATGCGCTTAGCGGACGACGAGTCGGAAGGCGAAATGTCGTCTTAAAAGCGCATTCCGACATCGGAAATGGCAAAAATAGTACTACATGACAATATTGTCTGTTGAGGCGACTTGTCTACGAGTAATGCGCAAGTGCTATAGTGTGCGATACGAGTACGCAGGATGAGAAGGGCGTTTTGCTTGCATTGTCGACCCGATGCGGAGTGGCATCATGGGACCTTGTTGGGCCCTCGTGGCCGTCTCCAATTGAGAAGCAGCTGCAAATACTCGACGGCGAGGTCCACACACGTGGCGACGCGCTCACTGCACAGCGAGTCTTGCCGCGACCACACGACGGCTGGAAGCGAGGAGCTCCTGGTCGACGCCGACGTGATCGGCACCACGGCCACGTCACACGTGCTGTAGAACGAGAGAAAGCACCCGTCAAGTGCCTCGAACGCCGTCGTCTGGTGGCCGTGCGAGATCGTGAATGCGCCGCCGACGCAGTTGGAAGTAGACGACCGTCGCAAAGGTATCGGGTGGCGGCGTTGTTGGCTTCAACGCCGACGCGTCACCGGCCAAGTCGATCGCACCAGCGTCATGTCGAACATGACGCCGGACTCATTGCACGCCTGCTCAATGCCGAGTTGGCCGAGGAGGCAGGAATCCTCCACGTAGTCGGCGGTGGCGTAGCCATCGCGGAGGATGACGTCCTTGGCGGGTACGCGGCCAGCGTACTTGGTCGTGAGCGCCGCCACGGTGTCGCGAGAGTGACCACTAAGCCATCTCGATGCCGTCAACGGTCGCTGTCGGTTTGCGCTCGTTATCAGGTGTGTCAAGACAGCACTGCGGCCTCGCGCGCCAATGTGCGCAAACGACGCGTGTTCTTCATCTTGTCGTTGCGCATGCAAAACAAATATGATGGACCAGCCGACGCCACGTGGGACTCATGCGTGGAACTTGAGCTCAATACTTCCAGCCCTTGCTGCGTAGCAATATCGTGTCGTTGGCAAATACCATTTGAACTCGATGAGCATCGACACAACCTCGTCAAAGGCAATCTATTGTGTTTTCACCTCCACAGCGTTCTACTTCGCCTTCCCGTGCGCCCGCTGTATCTTCTACAACCACTAATATATATATCGTAATAACTAGGTTCCTGCGGAGTGGGCTGGTAGGAAACCTCTTTTTGAGGGAAAGTTGAGCAATGGAGCCGGTGGAAGTGCGAAACATCTGAAGCGTGTGTCTTCCGCGTCGCTCATTGTGTTATGTGAAGGTTGTGAGTTGCGAGCATGCAGTTTGTGACCGCATCTTGCGTGCTGTCGGCGAAGCGCAACACCACAGAGCTCGAGCGACATGGCGCCAAGATGATGCAAGAGTAGGACACATCGGTTGTTTCAGGGAATTTCGACCAATGGGAAAGAGGTTCAGCGACACGCCGTGAAGAAAGTACATTTGAATTTCTACCAATCACTGCAGCCGTGGACATGGAGACAGACACGGAGATGGACAGACGGACAGACAATTAATCCCCCCTGGGCTGGTGTAAACAGAGGTTCCTACCAGTATTATGCACACCATGATCAAGAGACATGTCGTACAAGAGACATGATGTACAACATACATGTTAGGCACTCTCTGCAGCGGTCGCTCCCTAGCTCTGTGGTTCGTCGCGAGCAAGCGCATCGTCAAGGCGTCCTTGCAACAACTCGTTAATGTCCGTTGCCGTAGGGCGGTGCGCCGGGTTGGCGGCTACGCAGCGATCCACGAGGTCTCGGTACCACTGCTCGCAGTCGTCGCGCAGCGCTGGGCGCAAGCCGCCGTAAACGACGGCCATCGTCATGGCAACTTCGTCTTCGAGGTCGTCGTCTTCAAACGGGAGCTGGAACGTATCGATCTCGGTCATGAGGATGCCAAACGCGTAGATATCGGACGCGAATGACGGTCGCGAGTCGCCTGCGAGCACCTCGGGGCCGTCCACCCGAGAAGCGCGTCGTCGGTCACCGACGTGCCGGGGACACCGACTTGAAAAAACTCTGTCGGGCTCAAAAAGACGTTGTAGCTCGAGAGGTGCCCGTGGACGAGGCTGTGCGCGTGAAGGTCCACGAGTGCGTTGACCACAATGTAGAGCAATTGAAGCGTCATAGGACATGTGGCTCGCAAGCCCGCGCGTACTTGAGGCTCCTGCAGCAGCTCGCGGAGGCTTTTGGCAAGCGAGAACTTGACAAAGATGCTCGTGGGCACGGCGGTGGCCACGACCGTCACGACAAATGGCGAATGGCAGCTATCCCATACCGTGCAGACTATAGCAAGCAGACAGAAGTGTACCTCGCAATGGCCTCGACGTCGTCGCCTTCCCCAACGTGGTAGAGCTTGACAACGTGTTCATGGAGCGCAAACGGTGCATCATGAGACGAAACTTCTTCGGCCGGGATCTACGTGCGAGCCATGACGTGACAAGTACAGGCCACGGTGCTACCTTGAAGGCTGGGCGGGATGTTCGCGCATACAATGAGCGGGCCAATGCACCCTGACCGCGCAAGCTGGCACTGGCATGCGGTGTGAGCCCGGCCTAAATTATGCCTCGTCAGAAGACGGGTGAACACAAATGCGAACAACGAACCATGGTATGCTGTGCCAACGACGGGCGAGAAAAAAGCGCTTCATCGCCGACATCGGGCTCGCGTTGCTCACGGTTCTGTTGCAGAGGGTGATTGATGTGGGCGAGCCAGTTCAATAGACTTCGCGGGAGCGCAGGTACATCGTTGGGAGTCTACATGGCGCCAAAAGTGTGTGCCGAGTCAGTGTTCGCGACAAACATACGCGACGGGGGGCCGTTGAGATGAGGGCCAACTTGAGACGCACGCGAAGCATCTTGAGCTCGTTCGTGCTCGGCTGCAGATGCGAGCACTGAGGGCAAACCGTCTCCCCAATCGTCATTGTCTTTTGGAGGCACGAGATGCACTCGCGCATCCAGTCCACGGGGTACCCCCGGTGGTGGAGCCGGAATAGACGTCGAACAACAGCCACGGTGCGGTCTGTCGACGATGGAGCGTGCCCACACGCAGCACACCATGCGATGTCGATGGCGTGCCAACTGCCACAGCCGACGCACATCACCTCGGGGGCCGCGGCGTTTTCCGTCTGAGTAGTAGGTCGATGGTCGAGATACACTATTGAGAGCCGTAAGCTCGTACCCGCGAGACCGCCACCGAGAGCATCGGCACAACCGGGTGGAACACGGGATCTTTTCGAGCCTCGGCGAGTGGAGTCGTTCCGTCCTACTTTCTTTCATGAGCTCAAGAATCGAGCCAAGTGACATGCCTTGGCGGCAATGCGAGCGTCGGCCCCCGTCGCGACGAGCTGCTTGATGCACCACTTATTGGCCATATGGAAGGCACACAAAAGTGGTGTCTTGCCTTCCTACGTCGTCCGATTCGCACTTGTTTATTAAGACCAAGACTTGGATGTACATTGTCGCGCATGTCGACGTCCGCCCCCGCATTGATGAGGATGCACAAAAGGTACTCCAAACGCTTGGTAGCAGCTTCGTGGAGCGGAGTCCGGCCACCCTACTCGACTCTTGACGGTCACCATCGGAAGAGTAAGCATACGCTCATGTCGTTGACGTCAGCACCGCGAGATAGGAGGAATTGAACAGTTCGTGTAGCACGAGCTGACGTGGCCGCCAAAAGCAGGGACGCACCACCCTATATAGACGATTTAGAATAGTCCATGACGCAAAGGACAACCGGCAACGTCGAGTCCACCGACAGACCACGGCGCAGCAGCTGCATCACCGTGTCGACGGAATCGTGGGCCACTGCACGCAGGTACGTCTCTGCCATCTAATATCATTATTGCCAAAAATGAAGTGATCGGGTCGTGTCTCAAGTCAGAGCGTACACTCATTTTTGTTGTGGCAGCGACCGCGATTGCCTCGTGGAGGATCTCGACGACTCGTTGAATGGTCGGGCGATCGTTCGGGTCCCCCTGCAAACACTTTTGAGCGAGCGAGCGCAGCCACGGCTCGCCGTCTTTTGTCAGCGTCGGACGAAGAGTGCCGTTGATGACACCGCGCACAAACGCAATCGGGTCTTGGACATCTTGGTCAAAGTACGGCGGTTGACACGTGTCGAGCTCCGTAAGAAGGACTCCGAAGGCGTAGATGTCGGCGGGAGAGCTGTACTTGGTGCCGTTGGCGCGAAGGATCTCGGGGGCCATCCAATATCGTGTGCCGGGCGCTTCCGTCATGTCGGTGGCTTCGAGCCGCGCGAGGCCAAGATCGCTGAGCTTGATCTCGCCACTTGTGCTCAAGAGCACATTATGACTCTTGATGTCACGATGAATGATGTCTTTCGCGTGCAGGTCGTTCAAGGCGTTGGCGACGACCCATGCCACTTGGAGGCTCGTCACATTCACCGACAGGCGTTGCTTCAGGCGCTTCTGGTCGAGGTACGCCCGAAGGCTGCCACCGTCCATGCATTCAAAGAGAAGTGCTGGCGCCTCCGAGTATCGGTCGGCAACAGCGACAACCCGGACGAGGTACGGCGACGGACACCTACATGACAAGTTCTTCAGGATTCCAGCCAACAAAGCTCCAAGGTACTTGACGAGTGCGTCCGCTTCGGCCATGAGCGTCTTGACGTGACTTGCGTTTCGAACTTTCTTGACCGCGACCGTTTGACCCACGTACGAGCCAAGGAAAACGACACCAAAGCCACCGACACCCAGTTCCGTCGTGGTCACTTCATACTCGGTTGCCGAAATCTACAACCGTTATTGTCAGCGCTCGCAAACAGTCGCGGAGGTGACCTCGGCCACAGCTCGTTGGACGCGATCAAAGAGCTTTTTGGCCATCGAGGTATAGCCACGCTGGATGGCAATTGCCAGTGGCGTCTTGCACTCCTATGTTTGTTGCGGAAATATGAGTCCATTGATCTCTGCGATCCATCGAGTCGTGGTACTTGGTTGAGCGTCTCCAGTAGGACACGACGCTTGGCGAGAAGCAGGTCGAGCATGGCTTCGTTGTTTGCAAGGACGGCCAAGTGAACCAGCGAGCACCCAACCTGGCACAATGTTGAGTCGTGTCCACACTTCTTGTTCGTGTACCTCGTCGTAGACGTTGCAGCTCATCGGCTGCTGCAGCAGAGCGGCAAAGCTTGACGCGTCATTGTGACTCATGGCTCGCAACAAGGCCAGTCTCTACGTGGGATAACATTGGATTGAGTTAGATCCTTGCTCCAAGCAGCGTCGTACGTGGGTGTACGCAGGCTGAAAAGCTGGGTGAGTGTGCGGTTTTCCTTCAGAATGGCAAAGTCAATGGCTCGCAGACCCATCTAGGTACTTTGATGAATGCTCATGAGCTAAATGGGCTTGTTGGTCACCTTCTTGTCCCTCAAATCCACGTCGACCCCAGCACGCAGCAAAGTCTCGACAATGTCGACCTTGCCCTTCGTCGTCGCCAATTGAATCAACGTTGTCCCGTACTGTTTAGTAGAAATCACTTCACCAAGGTCGAAGACGCGTCGTCATACCGTGTCGCGTTCGTCAAGATCAATGTCAGGCGAAGCCAAGAGCGCAGCGACAGCGACCGCGTGGCCGGCGACAATCGAAACGTACAGCGGCGACACCCCACACTAAGCACAAAAGATGAAATGACGTTGCAAGATCCAGGAGGCACTTGCGTATTTGGCGTTGACGTCGACACCGCGAGCAAGCAAGACTGGAATGACGTCGGCGACACCGTATTGGCAGGCACAGTGCAGCGGACTCTGCCCATTCTACAGGGCTACTTTGAACACATTGCCTGCAAACACAGCGATACCGTGAGAGCATTGATATCGACTCCAGCTTGGACCAGAAGCGTCGCAACATGACCGTGCTGGTGTGCAATGGCGGCATGCAGCACCGTGGCACCACTCTACCATTTGCACTGTAAGGCGTGCTTGGCATCATTCAAACGACGAACCTCGTTGCGTTCTGTCGTACACGCACCAACGTCCAAAAGCAATGCGGCAACGGCCTCGTGTCCAAAGATGGCCGCGTAGTGCAGCGGTCGATCCAGCTCCTACAAAATATGCAATTTCAACTCTGACGTTGACACGGAAACGGACGTTGTCGGCGGCTTCCCAGTCGGCGCCGTACTCCAGTAGAGTGAGAACGTTCTCCGTGCACCCTTTTGCCACAGCAAAGTGCAGTGGCGTGCGTCCTCTCTATACAGCAACTTCGAGATGAGTGGACGGCCCATGCTTGAGCAACCCACGTCGTCTTTGGGATCGAGGGTGATATTCGCAACGCCGAGAAGCTTCTGCAGCATCGCGCCGTCGCTCTGTTGTGCCGCTGCGTGCAGCGCCGTCACACCGAGCTACGAAAGTGCTTGAGGCCGTCGGAGGAGACGACGCACGTACACTTGAGGCGAGATTGACGTCCGCGTTGTGCGCCAGCAGTACATCCACAAGGTTGCTGTGTCCAAGGCCCACCGCAATCACCAGTGGTGTCTCTCGCGTCTGCAACACACGTGAGATATCTCTCCCCACTATCCTGTGTTGCTACGTACCGTGTCCGCTGTATCAGGATGCATGCCTTGGGCCAGAAACGTGCTGACGGTCTCAACGTCGCCCACTTCAGCAGCACGCTTAAACATCTCGCCCGCCTACGCAACGAGGTTGCAGCACTTCTGCACAGTCCCATTGAGCGTGTACGCTAATTGGGGCTTGTCCGATTCGCTACAAGAGAATCATAATATGCTAGAGCAGACGATAATATGGACCGACAAATGGAAAGATCGGGCGTTCGCGGGAGTCCGTCGTCTCGGATTCGTCGCGCGAGCGAATAGAGACAGCTTCAATTGCTTGGAGACCCGCCTAGTAGTGGCCTCTACTCATCGATGCTGGATACAGTGCAGGGACTCTGTACCGCTCGGTCCACCTCGAAAACGGGCATCGAGGCCACGAGGTGTGGTTGCCTACAGAGTCCATGTGACGTGATCACAAGGGATCAAGAATACACGACATACGATTGCAACTTCGGCAGCAAGATTTCGACGAGCTTGGCCGCCGTCGGACGGCGCGTCGGATCCAAGTCCGTGCAGTCCGCTGCAAGTGTCGTGACCCACTGGGTGCTTGGATCGCGAGGGTTAGGGCACAGCGTCTGGAGGAGTATCCCAAACGAGTAAATGTCGGCGGGCGTGCCGTAGCGGCTTCCGGACGTGAGCACTTCGGGCGCCATCCAATTCTTCGTTCCTTTTGCGGTCGACATGTAGTCGGCTTCCTCCTTGGCGACACCGAGGTCACCGACCTTGATGTAGTACTTGGACGAGAGGAGGATGTTGTCGGTCTTGATGTCACGATGGACAACGTTCTTGGCGTGAAGATCGTTCAAAGCGTTGGCAACGACCCAGAGAATCTCAATGGGCGCGTATACCACGGGGACGGGTTTGTCTGCAGCGATCTTCTCGAGGTACGAAGCGAGGCTGCCGCCGTCCATGTACTCGAAGATGAGCTGTGGCGCGTCCGATTTCGCGTCTGCCGTCGCAAGCAGCCGCACAATGTACGGCGACGGGTTGCTATGCACGTGACGTGAGACGTGAGTTCAAATCCCAGTCGTCGTACTTTTTGAGGACGTCGATCTCGTAGCGGAGGCTCGCAGCGTTGCAGCTGCTGTTCAAAAGCATCTTCACCGCTACGTCTTGCCCAAAGAGAGAGTCCTTGAAGACGATGCCGTAGCTACCACGGCCGAGCTCGCGTAGCTTCGATGACGAGCGTGCAGACACCTATGGACCATTAGTGGTTGCGATTGAGTTGCATAATGTTTGGAAACGTACTTGTCCCGTTGTCGTGGCGTGTGCTGCATGCAGTTGACGAACGAGTGACTGACTACCCAGCTTGGTGGCAGTGGCTGTGGGTGACTCATCAAACTACAACCGTCACCGTACTGGTCAGGACACTACTGTAGCATGCCAGACTGAGCAAACCTTGTTGACATGAAAAAGTTCGACGGTCGCATCTCGAAGAATCTCCGCTACAAGCTTGTCGTGGCTGCCGAGCACAGCAAGGTGCAGAAGAGTATTGCCGTGCTATCTCGGATCAGCGTCGGTGAGATAAACGTAAAGCTGTACCTCGTCCGTCTCGTTGATGCTGAGGCCCTCCGAGCGCAGTGCTTGGACGGTTTGGATGTCGCCATGGCGGGTCGCATGCAGCAGCTTCATTTTCTACCCCACGAGCGTCAACGAAAGAACGTTTGCGAACTATCATGAACGTGTACCTTGGTGCGCACGTCGCTAAGGACCGATAGGACATTGACATGTCCATCGTCTTGAGCGACTTGGACAGGCGTTCTTCCGTCCTTCCACATTCGCAACATGAACGAGCGTACAAGGGGGCGTTGACGCTTACAAAGGCCGCCTCTTCGAGCTTGGCTCCTGCATACGCAAGCTGGCGCACAACCTCGGAATAACCGGTGGCAGCAGCGAAAAACAGTGCTGTCGCTCCGAACTAGTATACAGGCAATGTCATGTGACGTCTTGAAGCGAGATGCATACCTGCGGATCGGTGGCATTGATGTTGGCGCCTCTGTGGAGCAAAATCGACACAATCTCCGTTTGCCCGCTGGCCGCTGCTACATTTAGGCACGGCTGCTACGACCTCGATGAGTCTCCACGCTGCAATATGTGCATCGTTCGTACCGCTCCCGAATGATTGATCTTTGCGCCAACGTCCAGCAAGGCTCGAATTGCGTCGGTTTGGCCCCAAACGCTGGCTATGTACAGCGGCGAGATGCCCGTCTAAAGTTTGTCAATCCAAAGACGAGGACAGCGTGAGCGTACGTGGGAGAGAGCGTTTGGATCGGCCCCGCGCTGGACGAGGAAGTGGATTATTTCCGTGCATCCACGCTGCGCCGCATACGCGACGACTCCGTGGCCATCCTAGGGTCATTTGTATCAATCAGCATGCTTGGACTCATATAAAGGAAGACTACCTTGTTGACGTCACGTACGTTGGCGCCAGCAGTTAGCAGTTGTGCAGCAATAGATACGTTGCCGTGGTTCGCTGCCACCAAGATCGCCGACGCCTTCTCCTACGATGCACTGACTTGGCCAAGTGTCCTATGGAAAGGGTTGATACAGCATTGTCTGCGTCGTGAACGTTGGCGCCCTCTGCAAGAAGCACTTGAACCATTTCTTCGATGCCAAGTTTTATGGCGACGCCAAGCGCGTTCGTGATCTGGACGCAGGCGTAAGTCCATGATATGCACAGTTTGCCACGGATACCCCGTTCTTGTGGTTGACGTTGGCACCACGTGCCAGAAGCAACCGTACGATGTCGACCGCACCACACCGAACCGCTACGAGGAGTGCTGTCGACCGGTTCTAGCACAGTAAAACGTCCGATATGTCTAGTCATTTACAAAACGCCGCACCGTTCGTTGTCCATCGACCTTGGCACCGGCGTCAAGCAGCATCTCGGCAATATCGATGTGTCCTTCGCGCGCCGCGACGTACAGAGCAGGGTCACCAATCTATGCAGCTCATCAGATCCGTCACGGGTGTGCCGGCCGTAGTATACGTTGTTGCGGCTGTTGGGATCAGCGCCGTCATGAAGGAGCTCGGCCACCACCGCTGTATCGCCTCTTGCCACGGCGTCGACTAGACTCATGCTCCTCGACGTGGCTCGTAGTGTCAGATCAAAACGGCAATGTGGACTCGTCAGCCGATGCCGTCTGCTTTCGCAATCCCGTGCAATCAAATGATAGAGGTATATCAGCAAACGATGTATGTATTGTTAAAGGTTGTTGGCTCCAAGCATTCGGTATCGACCAAGGCCCTTGCCATTGGCTGATTTCAGCGAATCACCTCCACGTAATTTACAATTCCCCATCGCGTTGGCATCCGGTGGGCAAAGCCGAGGGGCAGACTTGTTTGCATCCAGCTGCATCCGCAGCGGGTCAGAGAGTGCGGCTGGCAACATGTGCCGAATATAGGTGCCAATTCGGCATCTCATTTATGGCATATGCCACCTCAATGCCACCATTGTGCCGTACAATTTTCACAGGATAAACGGAAGGCCGGCCGTGAGGTACGGGCGTGCTCGCACAGCGTCCATCACCGACGAAGGCGGCAACCTTGAACACGAGGACGTCGTGCAAGCAACGGTGCAAGTACGCAGACGCCACCGTGTCCTGTGGGTGCGCGCGCATGTACGTCTCCACGTCGAGCAATTTGGGCAGTTGCACAGGTGGACAGACGACGGCGAGACGCAGAGCCTCCTTGTCGACCGCCTCGTGCCACACGTGACCAGACTGCTGGCGATCGTCGAGGCTCTTGGGCAGCGTCTTTGGGTCGCCATCGTTGGGATCTACGTGATGACGCACACCGATGGTTGGTGGAGGGATAGCGAAAAAAGTCTCTCTATACAATCGATGCCGATCGTCGATGCGTTACCCCTTGCGACGAGAGGCGCCGCGTAGCGGTTGACCTCGCCGTCCGAGTCGAACGTGTTCTGGAAGTTCCATCGATGACGGATCACGTTGGCGCCGAGACGTCGGCCAAGTACGGTTCTTGAGCGCGTCACGGGGCGTACGCGGCTCGGGCATCGTGATCAACGCAAGGACACCGCATTCTGCTTGCTGCTGGAGCGTCTGAGCACTTGACGAAGCACCTTGGTCTTGGTCGGAGCGCTCTTGATCTGGTTGCCACTCACGTCCAAGGCGCAGAGGCCGCGAGGCAGTGCCGGTGCGAGCAGCGTCTGGTCGGCATCCTGGAGGCCATTTTGGGCCAAGCACAGGGTCGGATGCTGCGGCAAATGCCGTAGAATGGCAGCAACAAGATGGAGTTGATGGTTGTCGTGGGAGAGGAACGCTGTGTCAGGGTCGAAAGGTCAAGCGCCTTGAGATGGCGCAGCGAGAAAAGATAGCGATTGCAAACCGTCATTGTCCAAGTAAATTCCGATCGAGTGACGTTGGCGCCGTCACGTGCAGGAGCTGGAAGCGCCCAGTGGGCAGCTGGTTGGTTCAGAGCGCGAGAGGACGCAGCGTCGTCAGCCGTGAGAAGCGCTTGCGCAAACGTCGTCGTGTTGACGCATGCGAGCGTGCGTTGTCATCGCGCTTGACGACGCAAGCTGCGTCTCGCTCAATGTGGCGAGCGACTCGGCGTCGATGGAATGAAGCTCGAGCTGCGTCACCCGCCACGAGCCAAGCAACCGCATTCTGTACGCTTGCGTCCGGAAGCAGTTGCACCTTGCTGGTCTCGGGCTTGTGCAGGCGGACGTCCGACAAGAGCGGCGTTGTCAAGAGGCCCGCCGGGATGCCATCGGACTGTGCCGCCATGATCTGCAAATATGCAGCGAGGCGAGTCGCGAGCAGCTGGAGAGCGCACCAAGATCGAGCTCAAGTGTTGTTGTCGTTGATGTGCTAACGTTGCACTTAAGCCCTACGTTGAAGGCGGTAGCAGTCTCCAGCGGCGGCCACGGTGCTGGGCTCCAGCGAGGTTGCGCGTGTCAAAGGCCTGCATGTGGCCATGTGGTGGCGGCTGTGCACGTGCACCGTATCGTAGAGCGGTAGCGCGCCCATGGCACGCTCGAGCGTCCGCAGTAGCATAAACGTGCGCAGGTGCAGCGACAGGAAGCCCACGAGCTCGAGGACGACGGCAAGCGTCGAGGCTGTGCGTCGCCAGCGTGCGCAAGAAGCCGACCACCGTCTCGGCGCGTCCATGAAGCGCGGGACGAGGCGCGCGCAGTCGGGCTGCTGCGACACGATCGATCGGTCCATCGACAAGACATTGCTCGAAGGGGTCGGGCTGCAAGGTTGCCGCCTTCGTCGGTGATGGACGCTGTGCGAGCGCGCCCGTACCTCACGGCCGGCCTTCCGTTCATCCTGTGGTCGCGGCGCGACTCGCTCGATAGCGTGCACCTTGCATCGTACATTGCGATCGCTACCGACTATCTTGCTCGGCGCGCCTACTCGAGGCCGGGGGCACACTTCGTGGTCTGGTCAACTTGATGCTGGTCACGGTCGGGACGCCAGCCTTTGCGGTGGTCGATACTGAAGCCTGAAGAGCCGCGACTTTGCTGCGTTCAAGAGAGCATGCGACGGCCCCGACAAGACGACACTGAACACGATGCAAGCTCTCGTCGTAGAAGAGTACCTAAGCGTATACTAGGAAGAATGGAGTATACCAGTATTCCCGTCATGTGATTTCTTTTCTATTGGACGTGGTCACAGCATCGCCAACACGGCGCCACTACCGCAAACGCCCGGCATTGTGTATCGCATGGTGTTGTAGCTAACGCAATCAGGGTGACAATGCGGTTCAATGCAACGCCAAAGCGATCGCTAGCACCAGAAAATGAAGGGTTGCCGCTATGGAGGGCGATTCCGTGATGATGTTGTCGGCGCACTCACTAGTCGACGGCAGCGTTGGGGACTTGCTCGTTGCTTGGCGGTCATCGCTGGCGGCACCACAGCAGAGATGATGGTCACAGCAAAAATTGGGTTGGTTGACGACAATGCCACATGTATGCGGCATCCCCAAGAAGCAAGACCCACTACGATTGCTTCGTCGGGAGTAGCGTCCCTGAAATGGTGCCCCGTGCTATGATGGCGCTGACCACTGACGGTGCCTGCCATGGTCGGGTGCTTGTCCTTGATGTGCTCACAGCGCTTGCGCACGACCGCGGTACATTCTTCGATGGTGCACTTGTGTACCTTGTAGCGCGGCAAGCACGGGATGCAAGCTGCTTGTTGGTTCCGCTGCATATTTGCTAATGACGACGCCCCAAAAAGTGAAAAACGGCATGTCGGTACAAATCGGTTTCAAGCTGGTCTGGGTTGGGTACGGGCCATACAAGTTGTATGGCCCGTACCCGATCCAGACCTGCTTGAAACCGATTTGTACCGACATGCCGTACGTTTTCTTTGGACCCTCGGACCCCCCACCCACCGATTCGCCATGGGTATTCTACCCCCACCCACAGATTTTTACCCACCCTCTCTTAGGTTCGTCAACACTATTTATGGGAGCTTGGCAGCGAGGCTCTGCCCTGCTATCCGGTTTTTCCCCTCCACAATCCGATATTAACCGGTCAGCCGAACCGGCTTACCGATCCGTGGACGCGGACAGGGTTCGCGAAAACGCGGACACGGAACCCATTGCTCGAAGCTATTGCTCGAATGTTCCCGCGTCGTTCTCCTGGCGTGTCGCGCTGCCAGCTGTGGTTGCATAAATGTGGCAGTTGAAGCACAGTTGATGCGCGCGGGCCATGTCGTTGTACTTGGACCCCAAGCGATATGGCTGCAACTGCTTGTCGAGTGCTGCGGCGGGTTCGTGAAAGGACGACGTAGATCCGAACCATTATCGCTCGACGAGGCAGGTTGCGAGGTGTGCTGCGACTGCTGCGGACGCGACGTCTGTGAGTACGACGGCTGCGCGTGCTTGTTGGTGCGATAACGACCAGCGATCGCGCGGCAACGACCCGCGCCAACAATCACGCGCCTCGGATTAAGTGCAGCGACCGGTATGTCGCAGCGCGGATGGCCAAGTGCCCATTCACCTATGTGGTGCTGACGCCTCGGCTGCCGCCGTGACCGCGTTTGATAGTGCTGTCCCGCCCGTGGTGTTCCACGTGGGGCCACATGGGCCCGAGCGTGATGCCGCCGCAGTGGCGTCCCAGCCACCGAAAGGCAAAGCGCTCCCGCAGCTCGATTGCCTTCCTTAGCTTCAATGGCAGATGCGTGGGCTAGCACTGCTTGTTGAGTTGCCCACCGTGTTGGACCCGACGACGTCGTCGGCGCAGTCACCGCGTCAGCTGTTGCTCGTGTTGCCCGGTCGACTACACCAGCGGCGATGTCCCAGACGGTGGTCAGTGTTGTTGCGCTTCTGGTGCCTAGTGTTGGACCCGCCGACGACGTCAGTGCCGTCGTTCATGCCGTGCTGTCTCCATCTTTGGCGTCCGAGGGCTGATCAGTTCTGGTTCCCCGTCTTGGGCACAAATACCGGTACCCGCGCGCACCGAAGACTCGGATATCCACCGCGACGTACTCCCGCGCTTTGCACACTCTCGTTTGCTAGTACGCTCTGTCACGTCAAAATGACCATTTTAGTGTGCCAACAAGGCCGAGATTTGCAAATGTGGCGGCCTACCCCCTCTCATTGGGTCGTTAACAAGCATGAATTGCGCGACGCACCGCCAAGCGTGCTGCGCGTTGGCCAATCTCGGCGAAACAAAGCATCGAAAACCAAGTGCGCATCGTCAACAGTGGCGCGATCGGTGAATGCGACGCTCGGCAACTTCTCGTTCTGCGAACAAGGTCACGATGGCCTGCAGGGGTCGCCGCTCATAAGCCTCGCGCAGAGTGGAGATCCGTCACGCGAGCGCCACGCGATTTGTGCGCTCGTTTATATCTTTGAGATGGTCGAGAGCCTTACGAAGATGCCCGAGGAACGCGTGCTTCAACCGCTCTATGCGCCGACAGCGTCACCGGATATCGAAATCCAGCAGCAAGTCGCGCGCTGCCTGGCGCTATTTGTGTCGAAACCGTCGTCACAGCCAACGCTTTTGCGCAGAAGCGCTCTGCAGCTCATTCTGGGATTTGTCAAGTCGCCCGACGCCCTTTCTCAGCGCCTTGGGACGCTTGCGATCGGTAACCTCGCGGTCTCGGCCGCCAACCACAAGGACCTCTTCGACCAGGGCGCGATTGGCGCCTTGCTGCATCTCGAGACGGCGAGCGACGCGGAAACGAGGAGGTGCCTTGCCTTTGCCATCAACGACGTCGCGGGCAACGAAGTCAACTTGGCGCAACTCGACAAGATGGGCATTTTGCGCACGATCATTGGAATCATGGAGCGACGTCGACGAAGAGACGCACGCGATCGTGCGCGACGGTGGCCTCGAGCCCCTCGTGCTGGACGCGCCGTCGAGCGACCCCTGTGTGCGCCGCGAGGTGGCCGTCGCCCCTACAACTTGTCGCTGGACGAGTCCAACAAGGTGTCGATTGCGAATTCGGCGCTCTCATCAGAATGCGATCGTGCGTCGAGACGTCTTGGGCCGGCGTCGCGCAGGCATAGGTTGCAATCAAGTGGAATACAGTGTGCGTCTACACAAATGACGTCATGATTCGACCGTCCAAAGACAGTCGCGACCCACCGTTCATGTCCGTGTCGGGCGAGCCTGGACGCGACCGCGGCGGTGCCATCCTCGTCAATCTCAGAAGCGTGGACGATCCAGTAGTGCTTTGCGAGGCGCTCAAATATGTGTGCAACTTGGCGTGCAACTTGCGCCTCCTTGAGGTCCTCTGCCACGACCTCCTCCTGCACCTTTGGCGCCATCGGCCTCGGCAACATTTATGCCAACCCTCTCACGCACAACATCGTCACGCACGACATACGTTGTGACACCCCTCGGACGCCTCGTGGTCGATGCCGCCGTGCCCGAGCCGCAGCGCTTTGCGGTGTTGGCGCTCGGAAGTATCTTCGGCAACAGCACGTACCACGACAAGAGTCTCGGCATCTTGTCGCCGCTCGTGCAGGCGCTGAGTTCCCTGCGCGCTCGAGACGCGGTTCTATGCGACATTTGCTCTTGGGAAGCTCGCCATGAACGCGACGCACCAGCGACCCATCGCGTGGACCAACCCAGCGGTCGACGCCACGCTCGCGTTGATGACGCAAGGCGAGAGCTTACACGCCCAGTACCAAGCCGTGTCGGTGCTGCGACATCATTCGCGCCGAGGCCATGTCGATTGCGCGGACGCCGAACTTGCTTCTCGCGCTTGTCGTCGCCGCCAGTGCGGCTTTTCACGTCGCGTACATTGAACTGGATCGCGAACTCGCGGCGCTTTCGTGCAGCTGGACGTTAAGCGACGCGCACAAGCTGCCGACAACGACGTCGCCGCTGCACCACCTTTGCCTCGGGCGACATTGAGGTCGCGCGGAAGGTCTCCAGCGCGCTCGCTAACATGGCCGAAGAGATGGAGACGCACGTGAGCATGCTGGAGTTCCACGCCATGCCCAATTGCGTGCGTCTCTTCCGTAGTCGCTACGTCAGCGTGTACCGCAAAGGAAGTCGATGCGCCGCCAACTTGCTCTCGTCGGCCGACGTGCACGCGCTCTTTCTGCACGAGGAGGGGCTTTTGGGACTCCTCCGCGTCGCCAAAGCCAACGGCGTCGAATGCCAGTACAGCGTCGCGCTGAGTTTGCAGTTGGCGATGCAAACGGAAACCATGTCATGCTGCGCCAGACAGGGTGCCTCCCGTGCCTCTTTCGCCTCCTCGGCGCAACGGGACTGGCCGTGCAGCGCCAAGCCGCCGCTGCCCTCAAAGCGCTCTGCGCCAACGCAGTCAACAAGCCATTCATTACCGACAACGGAATTATTCCCGCGATCATTTTGCTCCTGCGCGCGCAAGACGTCGAGTTGCAGCCAAGGGCCGCGGGTGCGCTCTGGCATCTCTCGTTGCATTTGCCAGTCATTTGTCGCCGAGAGCGGTCTTGTCCGCTTTTTAAAGCGTGCAAGTTCGAAGAGTTGAAGCTACAGTGCGCCGGCGCGCTCGCAAATCTAAGCGAGAACACGAAAACTCAGAAGGTGCTCGTTGCCCAAGGCAGCTTGCACGCGCTCATGGAGCTCGCGAAAGCGATGTTGCATCATGCAGCACACGGCGCGCGCGTTCGCCAACGTGGCGAGAACCAAGTCAACGTCTTCTCGACGGACGAGCTCAAGGCCATGTTTATGCTCGCGGTGTCGACTGAGAAGGCGCCCTCGCTATCGGCAACATTGCGGTCACGGCCAAGAACCAGCTCCAGATCGCGCACCTCGGGGGCTTTGTACTGTTGATTGCACTGCTCACGAGTTTCTTCCTGGCGTGTCGCGAGTACGCAGCGCGGTGTCTCTACCGCTCCAGTGCCCACAAAGAGAACCAGCACCACATCGTCGACGCCGGCAGCCTCGGGCCTCTCATCGCGCTCGTCTCGGACGCCGCGTTCGTCGAGTGCCAGCGCAACGCAGCCATAGCGCTGTGCAACCTGGCGAGCTGTCACGAGAACGAGCTCCCGATCGTTGAGGCGCACGGCCTCCCGCCGCTCATCCAGCTGCTCGAGTCGCCGAGTCCCGAGTGCACGCGGTATGCGGCCATGACGCTCTGCAACCTCGCAGGCAACTCGGCCAACCAGGTCCACATCGTCAAGGCGCACGGCCTCAAGCCGTTGATTCGCGTCGCGTCGGAGGCCAACGCCGAGAGCGCGCGCTACGCGTGCATGGCGATCGCAAACGTTTCGACGCACCGCCAGAACCGGCTCGTGGTCGTCGACGAAGGCGCGCTGCGGCCGCTCGTGTCGCTGGCGACGTCCGACGTGCTCGAGTGCCAGCGCAGTGCGACGCTCGCCATCTACAATGTGTCGTGTGCGGCCGTGAACCAAGTGCGCATCGTCGAGCAGAACGTGCACGTCCATTTGATCGAACTCGCGACGTCGCCGGACACGGACTGCAAACTGTATGCGACCATGGCGCTGTGCAACCTCACGGCCAACGCCGAGACGCGGATTCCCGCGTCGCGCGCCGGCGGGCTCCAGGCGCTTGTCCTCGGCGCACGAGACATTGACGGCGCCATCTAGCGCTACGCATTGCGCTCTGCAACCTCGCGTGCGACCCGCAACTCCTGATCCAGATCGTCGTGCACGGTAGCCTCGCCGCGATTCTCTTGCTCTGGGACTCGGACGACGCCGACGACCAGCGGTGCGCGCGTTCTTATAGTAAGTATACGGCTTGGCTTGACGCACTTGGTTTAGGTATGCGATCATGGCGCTTGCCAACTCGGCCGCGAGCGAGACGAACCACCCGACCATGACTGCACGCGGTGTGCTCAAGGTCGTTTTGCGCTTAGCGACGGCGCCACGCGACGACATTCGGCAGTACGCCGCCTTTGCCCTCGCCAACTTTGCCGGCAACGCCGAGCACTGCAACACGATCGGCGACGAGGGCGGCGTCGCGCCGTTGATTGCGCTCGCGCACTCGGAGGACCCGAACGCGCACGCGATCGCGGCGCTTCGGCGGCTCTGCCAAGTGTCGGCCACGAACCGCGGGCGCATCGTGCGTGGCGGCGGCCTCGTGCCCCTCGCCTTGGCCGACCACTCGGAAGAGCTCGAGACGCAGCGCGAGGTGGCTGCGACGCTCTGCAACTTGAGCTTGAGCGACGAGTACAAGATGGAGATCGTGCTCAGCGGCGCGCTCCCGCCGCTCATCACGCTGGGGCAGTCGCCGGACGTCGAGGTCGCGCGGCAGGCGTGCGGTGCGATTGCGAACCTCGCCGAGAAGATCGAGACGCACGCGACGTTTGCAGCGGCGCACGGCGGGCGGTTTCTTATCGGTCTCATGCGCCACAAGAGCATCGACATCCATCGCGACGCCTCGCGCGCGATGGCCAACCTCCTCACCTCCTTTGGCCACCACGGCGACATGATTGCTGAAGGTCTTCCGAATTTGATCCACTTGGCGCTCAGCGTCGACACCGAGTGTCAGTACAACGCGGCATTGGCGCTGCGGAAGCTCGCGCCCAACACGGCGAGCCACCGAGGAATTGTCTGCGAAGGCGGGCTCAAGTCGCTCCTCTTTCTGCTCGAGTCGAAAGAAACCAACATCCGCAAGCACGCCGTCGTCGCGCTCCGGGACGTTGCGTCCAACGCCGCGTACCAAGTGCGCTTTTACGAAGAGGGCGGCGTGAGTGCGCTCGTCACGTTCGTGCGGGACGTCGAGCCCAACTTGCAGTGCCCCGCACTCGCCGCACTCCGCCACCTCTCGTGTGCCACGGAGCTCAAGAAACCGATTGTCCAGGCAGGCGTCTTGCGCCCGCTGCTCAAATGCATCAACCCGGCCGGCCACCACGTCGACTTGCTTTGCCAGTGCGCGGGCTTGCTCGCGAACCTCAGCGAACACCTCGAGAACCAGCTCACGATGGTCGAGAAAGGGGCGACGACCGGTCTCGTTCGCGCTCGGCCACATTGACCACGACAAGATCCAGCAAGACGTGGCGCGCGCGCTCGCCAACTTGTCGGCCAACGAAGACAACCACAGCACGATCTACAAGCAAGGCGGGCTCAAGTGCCTCATCGGGCTCACGAGGAGCAAGGAAGAGGTGTGCCAGCGCTACGCGGCCATGGGGCTCCGCTTCCTCGCGTCCAACCCAACGATCCGCGTGCACATTGTGCAAGAGAATCTGCTGCCGCCGTTCTTGGCGCTGGCGCAGTCGCCCGCCCTCGACTACCAGCGCACGGGCGTCCGGCCCCGACGAGGTCGCGATCGTCGAAACCGGCGCGGTGCGACCGCTCCTGCACCTCGTGCGCTTTCCGGACCACGAGATCCAGCGGTAAGCAGCGCTCGCGCTCGCCGGCCTCGCGCTCGGCGACCACGGCCACAACAAACTGCGCATGGTGACGGACGGCGCCGTGCGGCCGCTCGTCGAGATGCTGCGGTACCCGAGCGTGGAGATTCAAAAGTGCGGCTGCTTGGCCTTGAACGCCCTCACGCTCGGCAAGCACGCGGCGACGAAGCTCGCCGTGCTCCAGGAAGACGGGCTCTTGCCGCTCTTGGCGCTCCTGAGTGCGTCCGACATGGAGTGCGTCTGCATCGCGCTCTACTGCGTCGGGTCGATCGCCGAGCACATGGACGTGCTCACCAAGCTCCTCGAGCTCGGCGCGCTGGCCCATATCGTGCACCAGAGCCGCCAGCCGGACCTCGAGGTGAAGCGCAACTGCGGGTACATTTTGGCGCTCGACGTCGAACACCACGAGTTCCACGACGACTTTGTGCGCGAGGGCGGCTTGCAGATCGTGGCGCATCTCGCGTCGAACCGCGAGTACCAGGTCAAGTTCGTCAACATGGGCGCGCTCCGACCGCTGATCGCGATCATGTCGGTCAACGCCGAGCCGCGCCACTACGCGGGCCTCGCCTTGCTCAAGCTCGCCGACAACTACGAGAACCACATCAAGATCGCCGAAGAAGGCGGCATCCAAGCTCTTTTGCGCATTGCGCGCGCCCGCTCGACGGACGAAGAGCTGCAGTACAAGGCGTCCATGAGCCTCGGGCAGCTCGCGGCCAACGCGACCAAGGTCATGCCCAAGGGTCGCCACAGTAACGATGGCGTTGGCGCAGGTGCGTCGCGCATGGCTGCCACGACCGAGCAGCTGCAAGCACGCAAAGCGCGCGAAACCACCACCGAGTACATTGAAAAGAAGATTCGCGCCCAGACCGATGCCAGCGGATGAACCTGCCATCAACAATGTTCCCGTAATATATTTTACATGTCAAAGGGGGGAAGCACGCATTATACGTGTTTGCTCGACAATCAATCTCGTAAATCTTGCGTGCTGGCTCGTTGCTGCCTTTTGCCGGTCGGCGACCGTCTCGTACGACGAGCAAGTCCCAATCTTCCCCAAGTACGTTCTGCGCGATCCATCGACAGTTGGTCGTCGAGGACGTGCTCTCGGTGTTCAGCAGCCTCAAGACGACGATCCAGCTCGACGAGCTTGCCATGCACGTTGACTCAATCGACAACGACCTCAACTTGATCGTCAGTGACGGCGCCATCGCAAGGGCGGTGTCAGTGCCACGGACGGCATCTCTATCTCGTCTTCGCTGGCGCTGTCGTAATGGCCATCTCAGTGCAACCGACCCACTCGACACACCAAAGGGTGTAAGGGTGTAAGGGGCTCGGCACGTCGATTTGTGTACACGGTCGACAAAGGCCTCTGTCCATCACTAGCGACCTTAGTGGGCCGTTGAAAATGATCCCAGCAATTTCCAATGCTTCTTACATTTTGGCCATGCACTGCTACGACAGGCGTTCTACATGTATCAGAAATCAAAACTTCTGCAACCTTTTAAATCACCAAGATATTTTCGGGGGCGCTTTCTCTAGGTATGAGCGCCTTGGGCCGGCCCACGATCGCAGCCATGGTATCGGCGCTCGCTGCATGTGGCGCATCGGAGGCGCCATTATCGTATTGGCTCTGCTGTAGGGAAGGGTTGCGAGGGCAGCTTGCGACGGCCTATGTGGCAGTGGACCGGGCTGAGCGCGCCGCTGAGCGCGATGCCTTCATCTGTGTACTTCTTGATGCTAGTGACTGGCGGCGTCGCCAAGAGGTCGATAGCCCATGTCGTTGGCTTGGTTCCTGAGCGCCTCAACGCGGCCGTCGAGGTCCGCTTGCACTTCTCGCGAAAGGCAGCGCGCTCTGCCTCTTCGTGCAGCCGCTCGTCGCGCCGGGCCTTCCCGATGTTGGCGCGCGTCCACACCACTTCTTGTGCTGGCGGATCCGGCTCGTTTGGAACTTGATCTGGCATGGATATGTTTTTATTGGCTCAGTTCTATATTCATTTTAGCCAATCATTAGACTTGCATCGACCTCGTCTTAAATAGTGTGCGCACGATTCAGCACAACGACGAGTAGCGGCCATCAGAGGCGCCAGCGCCACGTAGCGGCCGTGTATGCATCTCCACACACTATTTGAACGACGTACAAGTCGTTTCCGACGCTACACGTAGCGCAATCACGCGCAAATCCATTTTCCATTTTTCGAGGTGCCGGCAGAATTGCCTAAATACTTCACGTGATATCACGGGGTTCTAAAGCTCCAAACACCCCAATTCTGGCTGCCACAGCTGGTGATGGGTCTCGACCCGGGCTGCGACCAGTTTGTTGGGCCGCGTCGTCGCTTGGGCGCTCACACCAAACTCGAACTGCCGAGCGTCGGTTTTCACGGAATACGACATGTAATTTCGGTGGAAAATGCATTGAAGTCGCGGAAACCGAGGACGCCGTCTTTTTTTATTCGTGTTAGAGAGCGTGTTGCATGTGGCCGAGAGAGGCAAAGTGCGCGCGATACCGCTGCGTGATGAGGCCTTGTATCCCGTACAGTATTTCCGTATAGCGAAAAAGCACACTATATCTACATATTGGTTGCGGCTGTCCATTGCTCTCGCTACAGAGCTCGCACGGCGACGCCACATAGCATTTTAGACTCCCCAAAGTGTGGTCTAGCACTCTCGCAAGTATGGGCGATTTCATTTTCAAACTTCATTTTGGTCGATCCGCCGGCGGGGCGGGCCTGTGTTGACCAAAATATGGTTATATATGGTTGTAAATGGTGAACGCCAATAATGATGGCCGGGGACGCTAGAAAGACGACTCCGAGCCTCCTCGGGCACCACTGACGCTGCTGCATTGAGCGCGAGGAGACTCCATAAATAGTCTCTACGTACTGTACATGTCATCACGAGGTATCGCTCGGTCGCAATGCAGCGTTCCTCGTCGGTCTCCCGCATTTTCGTCAACGCCAGGCCAAAGTGTTTCAGCCAATCAGAGCGACAAGTCGCTCGATTTGTTGCCAATCAGAGGGGCAAGGATTTCTCTTTCGAGCCAATCACTAGAGTCCTTGCCGCGGTTCTCGAACCGATCATCGCCGCCAGCCCAGGCACGTGGTACGTGGCAAGCCGTGCGCAGTCCTCAGGCCGAGGCGCTCACGCGACGGCGATGTAGGTATGGCACAGCCTTTTCATGCGTGACGAGCCACCGATTCGGCCCTTGGGCAACCCCCTGGCCAATTTCTCGACGGCCTCTCTCGCACGTTGGCCAGCCCCAGCGTCGTCGGAGCGCGCGCGCCATCTCTCGGCGCTGATTCTGATGGTTCTATCTCGAGCACCTTACGCATGACGTTCTCCTGCATCTACACTGCACCGAGCCGAGACTGCTGGCAGCGCCACGCCAACAAATTGCTCGCGGCGAACCTGTCGCTCGATGTCGCTGCAATCCGGTCTATGCTCGAGCTGCCAACGAGTCGAGCTCGTAGCCCTCGGCAGCCATCAACTTTTGCCGCGCACGCCCAGGAGGGACTCGACAATCATCTGTGCCGACGGACGCTGCGTCGGGTCAAACGACAAACAGGCGTCGGCGAGGCCACGCAACCACTGCGGACAGTTTGCAATCACTGTCGGACGGAGGTTGCCGAGACGCACGCCGTCGATGATATACCACCGAACCGTTCCTAAACGGGTTCCGCGTTATCTTCCTTACAAAGACTTCGCATATTGTCGCGAATGTACCGAAATGTTCCCAAGTTGGGTCTGGGTCGATTTGCTATCTCTTTTTTTCGATTGTTGATGTCCATATTGACGATTTGATCGTCACTTGGGCTCACGCTAGTTTCAAATGTTGAGAGTAACTCGAGTCGTCCGAGTCATCGCCGAACGTGATCTTCTTGTTGGTCGCAGTGATCAACGTCGGCTGCTTTCTCATCGCGGCCACCTGCTCCTCGCGCTCTCTGATGGCCGCAAGACGTCGGGCGTTCGCGGCTTTCTTGCGCGCGGCTGCGTCCACTACAGGCGCAGCAGGCGTCATTTTGACGGACGCGGCTTCGAGCTCCTTGGCGATCTCGGCCTCCATATGGACATCTTCGTCGTTGTCTTCGCTGTCAGTTTTGCTGCTCCTGGAGGCTGCTTGCGCCTGGGCGTAGGCGAGCTCCCGCTCCCGCTCGGTCTCCGCTTCCATGTCAATGTCATCGGCCGGCAACACCTCGTCTTCGTTCGCGTCGATCGCCACGTCGTCTTGCTCACCTTCTTCGTCTTCTGACGTCTCGGAGCTCATGGCCGCATCCTCGGGCGCATCGACGTCTTCGTTCGACGTCTCGGAGCTCAACTCGGCGTCAGCGACTGCGCTTCAACCTCGGCCTCCACCGCGTCCATGGCATCCACCAAGCCGACCTCATCGTCGCTCTCGTTGTCATCGTCCGGGATCTTAGAGCTCAAGTGACCGTCGTTCTCGTCGGCCCCTTCCTTCTCCGTCTGCGGGGCCTCGACCACGACCGTCGCCACGGGTGCCTTGGACGCCTCGATCGTCACGACGCCGTCGTCGGCAATGAGCATGCGCTTCCCCTTGTAGCGCTCGGACTTTCGAGCTCCATTGTCGGCGCTTCGTCGCCTTGGGCGGGTACAAAGGCGCGCTCACGCTCGGCGAGCACCTCGGCCTCGACCTCGCCGTCGGTCCACACTGCCTGCAGCCGCTGCAAAAAGTCTGGCTTGGCCGACTTAACGCGCAGCCGCTTGCCTTTCCACTAGGGATTGTGGTACGCCTTGTCAAAGGCGTCGACGGTCGACGTCTCGGCGGTCACGTCGCCGGACGCCGATGCGATCTGTAGGTAGGCAAAGTCCTTGGCTGCCGAGTCGGCCATGAGCTCGACGTCGTTGATGCGCAGGTCAGCGTTGTTGGTGAGGAGGCGCTAGGACTTGGTCACATCCTCGGGCAGCCGCCCCACGTAGAGCTGCTGGACCATGGCAATCATCAAACTTGACTGGCTGCGAGTACATGGTTAAAGTGCGGAGCAACCGACACGCATTTAATTGAGCTTTAAACGTCCATGGACCGGGTGGGGCTCAATATAATACGGGGTGCAGCCGAAACAAAACGCATTTAAATGGAATCTTTCTCGTTTGGGGGTACTAGTACCCGGAGCGTATAAATAGACCCCTCCCAACTTTAACGCGCGGATTTGACCTTACAGACCATGAAGGCGGTCGCGTGCGCAAGCTTGCGCACCCGATCGAGGAGATCCGCGTCCGCGCCCTCCACACGATCGAAAGCAAGGTCAGCCGTGGGCTCTGACCGAGGCCGGTGGCGCTTCCGCAAGCGCTCCGGTCCATGCTCGCAGACAGCCTGTCGGCCCTCGCCATTGACTACCCACAGGCCGCGACCCTCCTCCAGCAGCTCAACGCCCCGGCACCGGTCACACGCTCGCGCGCGATGACGCTGCGTAGCATGAAGCTAGCGCCATCTCAACCTCTAGAGGACGTTAAGGAGGCTCCAGCGCTGGCCGAGCCGCCGACCGACACCGCGCGTGGCTGGACGTTCCCGCCCGTCGCGGTCTCCGAGGCCGACGACAAGCTGCTCTTCGAGCTCGAGGTGAAGCTCAAGCTCCAAGCGCGGCCCATGGATGTGCTAGGTGTCGTGCGGTGGCTGCGCGACACGGCGATCATCGACTTTCCGCCCGAAGTCTTCTTGCAGCGCCCGGCGACGCTCCAATACCTCTTGCACCTCGTCGCGACGCCACTTCTCGAGTCTTCCGCGGGCTTTAGCGACGCGTACTACAACTATCCCAAGACCTCGACGTCGGCGACGCTGCTTTTGACAGTCCTCGACGTCCTTCGCGACCTCACGGCCGGATGGCTGCAGTCGTGCCGCCTCCTCGCGCATGCAACGTACACGACCCCGGCCTCGCCGCATCAAAGCCCTTGGTATCCCTCTCCTGCAGGCACACCAGTAGTCGGCAGCTGGTCGCTCGCTGGCGGGCTCCACCAAGTCGTCGTGCACTGGCTCGTCGCGCTCGCGCAGCCGACAGCGCCGCCAGTCCACCTCGTCGCCGCTGTCGCACCAACGTGGCTTTGCGACGCAGACGACCGTGGTCTCGACGCTCCGCGCTTTACGCGGCTTTCCCACGCCATCGCCCACGTGCTCCTTGCGCCACACGTCGACACGCACGTCGTCACGCCGCTTATCCGGTGGGTCGCCGACGTCTTTGCGCAGTTGACGCCGTCCGAATTGCGCCCGTCGGCCATTGTGGTGCCGGACCGACTCGTCGACGAGCTCGCCGCGCACGTGCTCGCAACCGGGAACGAGCAATTGCTGCCGTACGTCGTCGCCTGCCGCCCCGAAATGGCGTCGACGATCGCGTCATGTGCGGCTCTCGGCGCTGCAACAGAAGTGCGACCCGTTTCTCGCGTCGATCGGAGCTCGTCTCGAGGGATCGACGTCGACGTGGGATGCTGCGAGCGCTCTCGCAACGGCACGCGAGCTGCTCGATCTTGTCGCGGACGATGGCCGCCGAGACTCGCTGCTTCGTGCCATCGCACACGTCATCGGCCTGGCCGCCGACGAGCCAGACCTCTCGCTTGCGGTCCAAGAGCTTCTCGAGGCCCTTGGCCGGGTCTGTATTGAGGTCAACAGCCACTACGACACGATCCTGGCGTACGTCGACGGGCCTCTAGGCGGACTTTTAACCACACAAAGTATTCTGCTCGGTCTGTGTCAACGCCTCGCGACCGACCCGACAGTGGACGTTCTCTGGACGCTGCTTGATCTGTGCTGGACCCGTCTCGGCCGTGCGATTCCGTCGATGCTGTGGCCGTACCTGCAGCACTGGGCGTACGCAGAGGTGCCCTTCTCGCCCCATCACGGCGACATCCAAGAGCGCTGGGCGCGGCTACTGCATGCGCTGCCTGCTGTCGCGATGGCGGACGACGTCGTCCTACGCCTTCGGTGTCTCTTCAACCGATCCAACTACGTTCGCCGGGCCGCCGTCATGGGCCTCAACGAGCTTTTACGCTTGGCGGTGGACGATGATGTCTTTGGCGGCGAGGACATGGAGCCCGCGCTGCAAGCCTACGCAAAATCGCACCACCCAGGTCGACACGGCTATTCATCGTCGTCGTCGCAGCTTGTCGAGAAGGCGCGCGTGTGGCTGCTCATGCTGCGCTCGACGTCGCTCGAGGCGAGTATCAAGGCGTCCGTGCTCACTCAAGCCGCCGAGCGATTGTACCGCGTCGGTGGCACGATCGACGTTCTCGCCGACGCCGGTCTTCTTGCCGAGTTGCTTCCGACACTGATGCAGCTCCTGGACGAAGCCTCAATGGCGTCCAAGGGCGTCCTCGTACTCGACCGGCTCTTGGCGCAGTCGGCGTTTGCGCGCAAGTGGTTACGATCCCAAGTCGACGGCCTCCGCGCGCTGTTTCTATGCGCCGGCGCGGAGGCCAACCCCGAGCTGCGCGCTGGCGCGTACTGCTGCCTCTTGTACACCACGGTCGCCCGCGACATCTGGACGCTCAAAGAGGACAACGTCACGTCGATACCGTCGATGCTCTTGCCGACGTTTGGTCTGCACGCGAGCGTCTGGACGTCCATCGACACGCGTTGGCCCACGCCACTACTGGCATCCGCACCCGCGTTCCCTCTGCCTCCGCAGCGACTTGTGGCGGCGCAGTGGACACCCACGCACGTTCGGGCGCATCTCGAAGCGCTCACGTCGGCGTCCTCGCACCGGGCATACCTGCACCACTTGTACAGCTTGCGGTGGTGGCTCGTCGTGGACCCAACAGTGTGGGCGCCGGTCGTCGAGACCCACGGCCAGGATCTCTTGCGTCTCCTCGAGACGTACCCATGCAGCGCCAAGGACATGCTCGTGCTTGCCGCGCTGCTTCGGTGCTTTGCCAGCGTGACGCCAACGCTCGGCTCGTCGCTCCTCATGAGCCTCCTGCTGCGCCTCAAGGTGCACGTGGCGCCGCTGCTTCAGCAGTGTCTCGCGTCCAACGCGCCTCTCTTCGACGCGACCATGTGCTTGCTCTTGGCGATGGCCGAAGCGTCCGTCGACCTCGCGCGGTTTGTCGCCGCCTTCCTCATCGATACGAACGTCCATGCCAGCGCGCTTCTGACGGTCGGCGTCGCCGTCGACGCTTCCGGTGCAGCGCGTCTGTTTGCAGCTCGTGGTGCGGCTCACACAGGTCTCGGGCGTCGACGCCGAGGCGTGGCATCGCTTTGCGTCCGAGACGCTGCGCCCCGTGCTTCTCAGTATCGTGCGCCCGCATCGACGCGCCGACTCGTTCCAGGACAAGCGGCGCGTGCTCCACGCCCTCGAGTGTCTCTTGGCTCTGCCCAGCGACGAGGACGTCGTGGCCACTGCGCGCGGCGTGTTGTTTGACGTCGACGGCCGACTGCGCACCCTCGGCTACATGCTCGTGGCCTCGGGTGCCAAGACAGAGGCCTCGCTGGCCCAGCTGGCACTGGATACGCTGGGCGACGCCACCGAAGCCGCCGCTGTCCGCCGTGCCGCTGGTGCCGTCGTGGCACATGAGAGCGCTCTCGACACGACGTCGGTTCGAACGCTACTCCTCGACGAAACGACGACGCTGGCACCGGCGCTCACACTCGCACTGCTGCGGCTGGTGCCTCCCAACGACTCGAGCGTGCCTTCGTTGCCATGGCCCTCGGTACGTAATGCTTTTTCTACTTGGTATACTACTTGGTATACACACTGTTTGTAGCTCTTGTCGATGGAGACACCGGTTGATGTGCGCACTCGGTTCTTGGCCTCTCGGAGACCAAGTGCTCGGCATTTAGTGACCTCATCACGGTATCTCATGACTCTAGCTCAACATAGTTGGTATCTTTGTGTCGTAGGAGGCATGGACGACGTCGCATCAGTCGGACGCAATGCTCAGTGTGCGCGCCGCGTCTTTGCTGCTGCTGTCGGTTGCGCCGCGTCCGTCTCTGGTATCCCTCGACGCTGTGAAATATGATCTTATCGTCACGTGTAGGCGTCGCTCTTGCCAGCGGTATCGACCGTTTGGTCTGGTCGGGACCACTCGATCGCTTCTACGCAGCGCTCTTGGGCGACGTGCTCTGCGTTCTCAGCGTCCTTCTCGCCGAGAGCTCGCTGCACCTGCCAGCGTCGTTTCTCTCAGAGCTACTAGGCGCACTGCTCCGAGTGACATCAGACCGCTTTGCCGATCCCACGCTCCTCGAACGTCTCTTGGCGCCGATGGCAGCACTGCTTCCGCGCGTGCTGCCGCTTCTTTTGCCGCAGGAATCCACCAAACTCTCAACCCTCAGTGACCACGTCGCCGCACTCCTCGTGCACACAGAGGTGGCACCGGCGCCGCTCGCATCGATCCTCACGTCGATTGCCGAGTCGGACGAGGTATCGATTGCGCCCACACACAACCTCGTGGCTGTGGCGTGGCGCCGGCTCCTTCGCGCCGCCGACACGATGCGACTGCGCGGCGTCTCGGCGTCCGACGGCTTTGCGCTGTACGCAAGCCTCCTCACCGGTCTTTTCTTCGCCTCCAAGACGGCGCAGGACGACGCGACGGCGCTGGAGCTGCCGCGGCACATGGCCACCATCTACACGACGCTTTGCAAGCCGGCGGTCAACGCACCGGTGGCCTCGGCGGCTCTCGCTCTGCTGATCAACTACGTCCGTGCCAACGACACCTCGAAGCGCGCGGTGGTTGCCCAAGGTGTGCTCTACGCGCAGCTCTGGGAGGCTGCCCTGGCACGCAATGGCACCTCGTCGCAGGTGTTTTCGCTGCTCAAATCGCTCGTACTACACTCGGATGGCGTCCTCGTGGCCATCAAGCGCGGCTTC